AATCATGTCTCTTTACAGTATTCCCTCACACACACACACACACACACACACACATCACATCTCTTTAAAGTAAAAGTGATAAAAAGCTGGTAAGTATAGGGGTTGAACAGCATGTCATCAGTGTTGAAAGATGGGAAGACTCCCTTAGAAGCCAGAAGAATTATTTCAGTTGCCTGAGCCAGAGCTGGACAGGAAAGGATATTCTAATTCCATCTCCAGAGAAGGGAAAGTAAAATAAAGCTAATTTGCTAGAGAACAGCAGCTAGGAGGAAAAGTACGGGTTAGTTCTCAGATAAGAAACTTAAAGAGGGATATGGCAGCTTTGGATGACCTGAGATATTTTAGATGACAGTGATATTTCTAGAGAGGGCAGTATAAGAGGAAATGGGCTAATTAATGCAATGAGGGTAGAGAATGAGTTTAGATGTTATGAAAGCTTTCTCATCAGTGTGCACTAGAACAAAGACAGTTTTGAAGCTTTTTTTGGAGATCTTTGAGAAATAGTATTCTACGGGGTAACTAGGTGGTGCAGTGCGTAGAGCCTTGGAGTCAGGAGGATCTGAGTTCAAATCCAGCCTCAGACAGGATACTTACTAGCTGTGTGACCCTGGCCAATTAACTTAACCCTGGTTGCCTTACCAAAAAGCAAAAAAAAAAAAAAAGAGAGAGAGAGAGAGAGAGAGAGAGAGAGAGTTGTCTGGAATGGTTTTAGAGATAATTTTATCTAGAGATAGCAAATAAACTAGATGATCTCCAAAAGGCTCTGCCAGACCTAGTATTTGATGAATTTTGAAGTGAGGTATTGTTGAGCTTTGGAAGAATTACTTCCTGAACTATTACTATATATTGACAGGCTGTGGTCTATAATTGAAAATCTGGCTCAGAATAAGAAAACGCTCAGGACTGGTGTCAGAGATCACATCAAACAACCTTCCTGAGGCAGTTTCCCTCACTTGTAAAATGAATGCATTGGGCGAAGCAATTTCTAAGGTCCTTTTCATTTCTAATAATATGATTCTATAGTACGGCTGTCTAGAAGCTATTAATAGCGTCAGTTCAGCAACTCCACCTAGTGTCAAGCACAAAGAGTGCTTGAATTTTGTGCTCTCAAAAACCACTGTTCTTCTGAAAGCACTTAAGACAACTTGGTAATGGATGTGATGACTGAAAAAAAAAGTAAACCTCCTTTCTCTTTAACAGCAGTTCTAAAGCATTAATTAGAAACTGAGGTGTCAATTCTAACATAGTTACCCTAGAATAATTCCATTATTCTGCATATATTGCAGCCAAAGGTAGTAAGAACCAATCTGCCCCAACACACATTTTTTTTAAACTAGGCCTTCTTCCCTTTTTACATAGGAGATACCTAGAAATATTTAAATTGACATTCATTTCTATTCTCATGAGATATACAATTTTGGGACGATTTTTAAAGACTGCTCTCATTGTTTTAGTCTTAATACTGACCGTTAAAAAAAAATTTCTGTTGTTCTGTGGGTATGATGGTGGAGGGTGTAGGATTCAACACACCTGAGAAAGGTAGTAAGAAGAATGAAAAGTGTTTAAAAAGTTTTTGGTATAGAACTCTAGCATTTAGTCAAGGAGGAGATGGAAGGTTTAAGCTGTTTAATTCCTGAAGAAAATACTTTAGACAAGAACCAGTGGCACCAACAGTATAAGAAAGGAGCCTAGCAGAAACAGTCAGATAGATTTAAATGAAGAAATCTACTTCTAGATAAACATGACCATCTTAAGCTTTTTTTACCGTGCTTTATATTACCCTTTCTCCTGTGTTTGTAGTATTTGAAAAGAAAATTGTTATATTTCAGAGTTTTCTAGAAGGGATTTTTATTGTAAGTCAGGAGAGTTGGGAAAATTTGGGAACCTAGAAGCTAGGCAGGGACTAGTGGAAGACAGGTATTTGGGTCTACACTCATTTGGTCAATAAACATTTATTAAGAACATTCTATGTGCCAGGAACTCTACTAAACACTGGGGAAATCATATATACAATATGTAGGCACAGCCAGTTAAAATGGTTTGAGAAACAAGGAGGCCAGTGTCACTGGTTTATAGAGTACATGGGGGGGTGTGTGTGTATCTAGGGTAGAAAGCATATGGTATAAGACTGGAAAGGTGGTGATGGTGGTGGTTGGGGACAGGGTTATGAAGGGCTTTGAACACACAACTTTAGGGTATGAGACTGGTAAGAAGACCTCATATGGAATGTCCTAAAGTCACACACTGTATTTGCTGTCATCTTTCCTACTTGGGCTTATTCTCTACATCTTCTTCCTGGAATGTCCTTCCCCCTCCTACCCCCCATCTATAGCTTTGTTGTTCTTTATATGTTTTCAGTCATGTCCCACTCTTTGACTCCTTTTGGGGTTTTCTTGGCAGATACTGAGGTGGTGTGCCATTTCCCTCTCCAGCTCATTTTACAGATGAGGAAACTGAGGCAAACAGGGTTAACTGACTTGCACTGGCTGAGGCTGTATTCGAACTCATGAAGATGAGTCTTCCCAACTCCAGGCCAGTACTTTATCCATTTTGCCACCTAGCTACCTCCACCTTTTAAAGTCCAGCTCAACTTTTACTAACCGAACTTTGATAATGTCTATGTTCTGTACCAGTTTTATTTATCAGTATATTGCCTTGTATGACTAGTTGTTTTTCTACAGGTAGAAAACTCAACTAAAGTGTAAGGTCCTTGAAGACAGAGATTGTGTCTTGTACTCCACAGTCCCTAACATATAGTCAATACTCAATATTTATTGGTGTATAGAATCATACATTTAGAACTAAAATGGACCTTGGAGGCAATTTTGGTCAATCTTCTCATTTTGCAGGTGAGACCAAGGGCCAGAGAGGCTAACTGATTTGCATATGGTGACAGTAGCTGAGCCAGAATCCAAACCCAGGTTCTCCAACTTCACATATAGCATTAGTACTGCACTATGTTGGCTACATTATTCTAATAGAATCCTAAATTATTTTAATTTGGAGAAATAATTTTTGACTGAAGATATTCATATATCTCCTCTACTTAAACATCATTATATCCCACCATTTAACTGATTTGAAAATGTGTAACAAAGTAGAAACAGTTTTCTTAAGTACACAGAATAACAGACAAGAATGAGACCCAGTGGAAGCAGAATGTGGAAAGGAAAGTTTCACTCTGAGACCTAGGCCTTCTCTCTATTCCTCACATATTATACTCCATCTCATACCACAACACCTTTGAAAAGGCAGTTCCATATGCCTGGACTGCATTCTTTCTTTACCTCTGCCTATAAGTTTCTTTTTTTTAAAGACGTAGCTTGAGTACTATCTTTTGCATGAAGCCTTTCCTGATCCTACCAACTACTAGTGCCTTCCCTCAGAGACTACCTTGTATCTAATTTTGTGGTTGTTGTTGTTCAGTTGTGTCCAACTCTGTGTGATCCCATGAACCATAGTACATGAACCCTTCCACTCTCTATTACCTCCCTCATGTCTGCTGCTTCCATGACACCATCTATCTATCCATATCATCCTCTACCACCCCCTTGTCCTTTTGATTTCAATTTTTCCCAACATCATGGTCTTTTCCAGTGAGTCCTGTCTTCTTATTATGTGGCCAAAGTATTTAAGCTTCAGTATTTGACCTTTCAATGAATAATCTGAATTAATTTCCTTAAATATTGATTGAGTCTTTCTCCTTGCTGTCCAATGGACTCTCAAAAGTATTTAACTACTCTGTATATATTTGTACTTATTAGCTTTACTTTATGATTATATATATATATATATATATATATATGTATATATACACACACACATATGTATAAAAATGTATGGCAAACATCTTCACGCAGTTTAAACTTCAATAGCTTAAACTGTTTTCTCCATTAGAACATAAACTCAGTGCTAGTAGGGATTATTTCATTCTTTGTCCTTGTGTTCCCTTTGCCTAGCACTTAGGAGATGCTTAATAATTAGCTGACTGACTCTACATTTCAACTTTTTTTCATGAAGATCAGCTCTGGCAAATAAAAATAAGGGCCAACATAGGCACACATCTATGTAATGTATTACAGTATGTAAGCACATAAGAAGACAAGTGCATAACATGTAATGTGAGGTGCTTACTTTATAATTTTTTATGACATTTAATTTCAGTGATGCACACCAAAACTTATTAAAGAACCTATGAGTTGATTAGTCAACCATGTCTGAGTCGCCAATCATACTCCTATATTGATGGAATAGGGACTAAATAAATGAAAAAAAAAATCTGATTTGATCACAGTAACACAAAAAATGTGCTGAGTCCTGTCAGTTACATGTTATACCATGTAATTGCATTAGATTTAGGACTGATTCCTGCAGTTAGAGGAAAAATGCTGTCTTCTGGAACTATCAAAGTGGCCAGAGTGCTTGACTTGGAATAAGGAAGCTGTGGATTCAGTTCTGCCTCTTACACTATTGTAATGGCCACAGGGAAGTCAGGCAACTTTTCTGAGCAGCAGTTTCTTCATCTGTAAAACAGAGATAATAACTATACCATCTTTTTAATATGACTGTTGTGAGACTCAAATGTGAGAATATACGTAAGCATTTCAGAAACTTTAAAACACCATATAAATGTCAGTGTTTGTTATTCAGATGGAAGGAGATCAGATGTTATTAGAAACTCCCTTAGTATCAAGCTTAGCTTATTTTTTTTTTAAACAAAATGCCCATTCAGGACACAAGGTTAAGATAAAGTATAGAGGAATATTACTTAATTTTACAATCTTTGTTTTGGCCTCTAATTTTCACTACCAGATCTCAAACAAATTAATTCTGTATTTTATTTTTTAAAAAATATACTTGGCACGGTAAGTCAGAATTGAAATGAACTTCAAAAAACCCTTTTATTATTTACACCTTTGGAGATAAAATATGTGCTATCCATACACACTGACCCAACAGTACACAACGGATGCAAAGTAGAAGCTTCTTTCCATTGTTCTAAAAAAAAAAAAGGTACAGTATATAAAATAAGTTTTTCCAGAAACCACAGTAACGGAATGGCTATTTGAATGACATTGCCATAGGAATTTCCCTGGTTGATGCAAGTTAACTTGCACATGCTTTCCAAACATTTAATTTATTAGAATAAAAAGTAAAAATGGCATCGATAAGGGAAAAACTAGGCCCTGAAAGGTAAAATGTTTAGAATTCTCCTGGGAATGCAATCTTACATTGTATGACTTTAACAATTTCTATACACGAAATAGAAATCTAAATAATTTAAGATGGTAAATTGATGTGACTCACAAAACAGTTTAAGTAAACTAAATCCAACCAACAATTAAGCCATTATCCACAGAAAGTTTTCTATGAGATACAAAGCTTTCACTAGGAATTCCCACAGGTATGGAGTGATAATTCTAATGGTATTAGAACTAAATAAAATACAAGTCATCTTATTAGATAACCATCTAAACATTAATAGCCTACTCTTACCCTAATCATTTACTATTATTTGTCTTTTCCTGTAGTAATTTTGTTGTTTTTTCATAGTTTTAAAGTAGTCTGAAGAATAATGATATTCTTAAGTAGTGGATGCTTGATTTGTCTCTGGAAATCTTAAACTGCTTTTGTATGGGTTTGCTAGTTTAAAAAAAAAAGGGATACAGGGTGAAGAAAGGGGCAGTCAGGACCATTTCCATTAGCTCTGAATGTAGGCAAATTTTTGTCTCACTTAAAACAAGGCTTGTTGGTGATGAAATATAAATTTTTCACAAAGAAATAATAACAGAATCACAAGATCAAAGAAAAAATTACATACGGGTAAAGATTTGTAATACATTGAATGATTTGATGATGTCCACATTCAATATGTCTCTTCTTTCACCTGCAAGCTATGGAAGATAAATCACTCTGTTCACTCTTGATATTCCAGTCAGTATCTGTTTCAGAATCACTGGAATAAACGCCAAACAGGGAAGAAGTTCTAGGAACAGACCATAATTCATCTGTTTGAGTAGCTGCATCACATAGTCGTTTACTTGATATTTTTACTTTGGTCTGAATACCTGGAAGAAAACACAACAGCATATGGTAAATTGATTATATTTTTAAAACAACTCCCACATTTAATGGTGATAATGTGTCAACACAACTAAATTGCCTAAACATACCTAAACTACGATGAGGGGGCCTTTTCAGAGAAATTTGTGTACTTTTATGCATCTTAAGTGAATGAACATCAACATCTATAGACACTAAGCCTTCTTCACAGTAAGGAGGCACCGAAGTGACATCATTAGATTGGTGATCAACATCTACTTGTGTCTGGGTAGCTTCATAATCATATGTAATCTGAAAATATAAATTAGAGAAATTTCATAGATACATGGCAACAATAAGTGCCTCCTCACTCATTCTACCTCTGCATTTGGAGACAGTAAAATAATAAAATCTTAATTCTTTACCATTATTGCACTATAAATTGCTACGCTTTCTGGGCAAGACTGAGTTAAATATGGCTATTGTTAGAAACTGAAACTTGAACCACATCAAGATATATTTTCCATAAATATGTAATTTAAAAATTTCCAGGTTAAATATAATGACATACTTTGTGGCCTGGGAAAAAATTATTTATGAACACCTAAACAGCTTCAGATAAAATTTATAACTCAGTAAAATTTCTAAAGCAGAACCAATCATGGATCACAGCTATTGATTACTTAGAATTATAACCAAAGCTTAAATCATACAGTAACTCACAGGAATTCAAATTTGGTCCCATCCCTACTTATTTAACTTTCCTTCCTACTATTTCCCACTACAAATTCTTACCAGGTCAGACTTCTTCAGGCCCTATGCACATTATGATTATTCTCAATTGCAAGTCTTTGGTTACGCTATTTTCTGTTTGTACTAACAATGTCTTTTGCCCCTCTACCCATCCTTCCAGGTTAGAGAGCTCCCCCTAATTCATGAAACTGTTCCCAACTGCTCCACACCAGTCCTTTTACTTTGACCTTTATTGTAGTCACTCAGTATGATTCATTTGGGTAACTAATCACACGCAGATTGCAGTGTTACTTATTTTTTTTTTAGTTGTTTATATATACTCTCTTATTTTTCCATTTTGGCCAAACGATGATATTAAAGAGAGGTTAGATAGTTGCTCAGTCTGAGCCTCATGGAATAACAGTACTTTGGTGGGGCCCACCATGTTTCTAGTAGTCTGGTTCTTATCTCTACAGATTCAGGGACTCAATTTCATTAAGCTTAGCCAGAGGAGATCAGGCTATCTGGAATGGATTGTTCTTAATCAAATTAATGAGACTGGCTTATAAACCAGAATGCCAAATTATTAATGCATAATGAGAAAGTCTACCAGTAAAGTTAAATTAATGACATAAAACTAACTAATGAGTACAGAGTGGATGTTTTTTTTAAAAAAAGTTCATTTTTTTAAAGCTTCACTGTCACTTTTCACTGATTTTTCTCATTCTGTTCCTGCTGCCATGCCACACAGCACACCCACCTTTATAACAAAAATGCAGACAAAACAAATGAACACATTGGCCATTCCTGAAAACATCTGCCTCATCCCACATGTATCAACTATCATATCTCTTCCAATGGGTAAGGATGGATGATCTTAAGGGATTTGCCTTTTCTCAGAAGAGGAATATTAGAGGCAGCTAGGTGGCATGGGCCTGGAGTCAAGAAGACCTGAGTTCAAACCTAGCCTTAGACACTTACTAGCTTTGTGACCCTGGGCAAATCATTTAACTTCTGTCTGTCTCAGTTTCCTTAACTGTAAAGTGGGCATAACGGTAGCATCTACTGCCCAGAGTTGTTGAGAGGATCAAACGAGATAACATTTGTAAAGTGTTTAGGATAGTACCTGGTACAGAGTAGGTGCTTAATAAATGCTGATTTCTTCCTTCCTTTCTTCTTATAATACCGTGAGGCTATTTTCCTTGGTATATGATGACTGCAAGGTCTGCTATGCTAGCTATACTCTCCCCGATGAGTGTTTAAGACATACGTGCAAATTCTTAATTTTTGGCTCTTTTTTTCTAGATTTTAGGGCATTACTCTTCTTTTGTCACAATAACACTACTCCTGACAGACATGTTACAATTAATTAAGATTATGCTTTTTATAGTTGTGGATTATCTTATAGATCATAGGTCAATCCTGCAGATAAAAAACTGAGCCCTAGGAATAGGAAGTGAGGTCAGTTACCTGGTTAGCTGCAGGGCCTGACAACCCAGTCCAGTGCTTATTCTATTACCCCACACAGTCTTCTTATGATAATCTCATTTAATAGTAGTTATCTTTTGTAATGGTACCTCTTTGAGAGGGTTTTGGGAGGATAAATTGCCTACCCTCATTAATATGCACAAATGATCTCTTAGAGAAGGTTATTTTTGCAGTTGGTTAATTTATATTTTATATTGCTTATTAGCTTCAATTTCAGGACGATATCTGGTCCTATAAATCTAAATAGATCTTACTTAGTTTGGGGCTTCTAATCATTGTGTACTGACTACACTCTCTAGGTTAGGTTGATTCAAAGCTCTTGGAGGGTAAGGTCAATTTCTTACATTTCTTCTGTTGAATAAAAGAACTAGAAATATATATTCTGAAGGAATGGCAGAGAAAGAAAGATTTTAAAAACCACCTGAAAACCTAATTATAACTAGATGAAAATTCATCCACAAATGTTCCAGGGGAAAAGCAATCTAAGATACTTTTCATATACAGGATTGGGGAGGAGACTCTATTACTTGCAGATAGTAAATATTTAGATGTTTCCTGAACTAAACATGAGTTGAACTGAGGAGCCTTTTTTGCTTTCAAAAAAACTCTTTTTACCAAAGTACTCAGTAGTTCCCAATAACCACCTGAAGAATAAACAAACTAGTTTTATTTAAGGAACAGATATTAAACATTATAGGAATTGTTTATTTTTTTAAAAAGAATGCTAAAGTACCGCATTATGATTGTTAATCTTGCGTTACAGTTTACGACCTGCATTCAACAATTCAAAATACTTTAGAGCTAGAAGGATACTTTGATAGAAGATAATTGCAGAACTATACAATACTGTCATTATATTAAGGTAGCATATGATTTGCATGGGGAGGGGGAAGAGAGGCTACACTAGATGACCCTTAAAGTTCCTTTCAGCTTTAAGTTGCTATTATTCTAAGAAAGTAAACTTTTGAAATGAGGTAAAATGGGGGAGAGACAGAGTAAAAAGGAAATTTAAAACTCATTGTTGAACTAGTAGCAGAGTTATAAAAATACTGGCATCATGACTTTACTGCCCTCAAGATGTATGATATAAAACTTGCTACAATGACTTCTTGGTCAACTATGTGTTAGCAGTCATGAAATCTGAATTTGCAGTTTCTCTACTCACATCAGCCAAAAAGCACCATGTTCATCGCTAATGGAAGAAGTATTAACCAAGTCCTTTTGTATCAGTTCAGCTAATAATGACTACTACACACAGCATACTGTGTTAAATTCTACTAGCGGACATAAAAGGGAAAAAGACATGGTCTGAGCCTACAATATAACATACACACAAACACTTACGATACAAAGCAATATGTGACTTAAGAGATCACCTGCAGATCATGAAGAAGTTGGCATATGCTATGGGCTTTGTAAGATAAGTAGGATGTGAATAAGTAGATCATAGTCAAGGTAGGAATTTCATAGGATTATAGATTTAGAGATAGAAGGGACTTCTCGTCCAATCTCCTCTTTTTACAAATAGGGAAATAAAGGCCCAGATAGGCTACGTGACTTGGCCAAGATCATATTATGTGACAACAGAGCCAAGTTTTGCACCCAGGTCCCTTAACTCCAAATTTCCAAAATATTCTAATACCACTGTGTTGCAGTGAGAAGCAGTGTGATTTCAAGGATACATAAAATGTAACAGAAAGGCTGAAGATGAGCTAAGCGAAAAGACTACTGGATTTGGCCACTAGGAAATCATTTGAGAGAACAATTTTAATACAGTGGGAGGAAAAGAAGCCAGACTGCAAAAGATGAAGAAGTAGGTTGTAGAATTACTTGTGTAGACTACTTTTTGGGAAAGCTTTGGTGATAAAAGGAAGGACAGAGATAAAACAGTAGTTTAAGGGGTTAGCAAGGTCCAAGGAAGATTTTTTTTTTGGATGAGCAAGACCTGAACACATTTATAGGGAGAAGGAAAAGAGTCAGTAAATTATTTAGATTTCCAGCCTCTTCAAACACATGAACAGCAACAAGGATGGGCAACCCTAGAATCTTGAAGAGGGAGAAATATTACCCATTGTGTTTTTGACAAGTACTATATATACAGTGGCCACTACAGCAGTATTCCTGGGGAAACATGTTACCACTAATGCCACCTAGGTTTTTTTGTTTTTGTTTTTGCTAAGGACATAAATGTTACTAAGCTACTGTGGTCCCATCTTATGGAGAGCCACAGAATGCATTTTCTACACAGAAACTGCTCAAATCGTTAATCAACCAATAAGCATTTACTAAATACTTACTCTGTACTGAGCATTTGCTAGGAATACAAAAAAAATTTAACATTTCTGGCTTCAAGGTGCTTACATTCTACAGGAAACAATATGTACATGTAAATACATATAAAATAGAAGGTAATTATTTTGGAGGAAAATGGTGCCAGGAAAGATTTGGTGTTTGGAGGTAGTGAGAAGTGGATGTTAGGTATAGGGGAAAGACAGCATGAGTAAAGGAATAGAGATAAGAAAGCGCTTTGTATGAGGAACAGCAAGCATGCCAGTTTGGCTGGACTGTAAATACTAATTATTACTGTAACGAGGTTGGAAAGGTAGGTTAGAGTCAGGTTGTACAGGGCTTTAAGTCAAACAGAGGAGTTTGTATTTTATCCTAGAGGTGATAGGGGGCCATTGGAGCTTAATTGTGTGTGTGTGTGTGTGTTGACAGTATGATCAGAACTATGATTTAGGAATATATTTTTGTGAATAGACTGGAGAGGAGAGAAATTAGAAGTAGAGAGACTTGTTAAGAGGCTATTGCAATAGTCCGGGCAAGAAATGATGAGGTCCTTAAGTAGGGTTATGGTGGTGTATATGGAGAGAAAGGGACAGATATGAGGAACATTGTGGGAGTATGACTTACAAGACTTGGCAACTGACTGGATATTTGGAGCCCAGGAGAACGAGGAGTTGAAGATGGCTCCAATGCTGCTAACCTTGGTAACTTCAAGGAATGAGAGGGCAGTCTAGAAAAGGGGTAGGTTGAGGGGGAGGGTGGAAAGATAATGAATTCTATTTCAGACTTCTTGAAGTCAAGGTGTCTAGGGAACATCTAGTTCGATAAGACTAGGGCTGGATACATGGACCTACAAGTTATCAGCACAGAGATGGCAATAAGACTCATGGAAACTGATGAGATTATCAAGTGAGAGAAGGCAGGGCAGGGGAGCCCAAGACAGTTTTCAGCTACATTCACCATTGGGGGTAGGACAAAAATGAAGACACAGCAAAGGAGCCCTAAGACAGGAAGGAAAACACTAGGAGCCATGAAAACCCAGAAAGGAGACAGTTTTGTTACTATTAATAGTACTGAACTACTATAAAGTCACCAGTTTTATTAACATTAATAATACTGAACTACTATAAAGTCACTACTCAGTCACACTGAGTAGGTTAGGTTTTTGTGAGCTAGTCTTGGAACCTAATCTACCTTTTAAAATATTGTTTCTATATGGAATGATATTCCCAGTTTGAGTAAATTAAATTCATCAAACGTTTATTAAACGCCTACTACTTACAAAGTAGTGTGTGTTAAGAACAGATAAGATACAGTTCAAACTGTGGAGAGCTGCCAATCCATTTGGTGAGATACAGATGTATACAACTATAAATAACAGAAAAAAACGATTCCAAGTACTAGAAGAGTTCAGAGAATGACTGCATCACTTTACCATCTGACAAACACATAAAACCCCAAGTTGGGACCTTCTTGACAGGCTTGATTAGTTTTTAAAACCTCAGGACATCTTAAAGCTGCTGGTAGTGCTTGGGGAGGAAATATAGGGTTGACCTGAGACACTCGTTGTGTGTTTATGGGCACTATTCTTCCTAAATGCTAAATTTGTTTTTACCTGCTGAGAGAGTCTAAGCACTGTCATTGTTGTTCAGTTAATTTTCATCGTGGTGGACTTACTCTCCGTGATTCCATCTGGGGTTTTCCTGGCAAAGATACTGGAGTGGTTTGCTATTTCCTTCTTCAACTCATTTTAGAGATGAGAAAACTGAGGCAAACAGGGTTAAGTGACTTGTCGAGGGTCACACAGCTATTAAGTGTCTGAGGCCAAATTCGAACTCAGGAAGATGAGTTTTGCAGACTGCAGACCTGGCACTCCATCCACTGTAACACCTAGCTATCATCCTTAAGTTTTGTGAATACCGTACAAATTTGAAAGCCCTGGAGAATGAGTATGTGGTAGTTGACTCTTCCTCTGGCAGAGGAGGTGGAGGGATGGGGGGTGAGAGGAAGAGGGAGAGAGGGAGAGGAAGAGAGGGAGACAGGGAGAGGGAGAGAGAGAGCTTTTCTTCCTAAATGCTTGCTTGTTTTTAACCTGCTGAGGAGTCAAAGTACTGTCAGCACCCTATAAATTTCAGAGCCCTGGAACACAGCCCTGTCGTCCTTGCCCTAGTTGGCTCTGGCCCTGGCAGGCGAGGAGAGAGGACGAGTCTCCTCCTCACCCCTTACCTGGGCAGTCGCAGGCCTCTTCCGGGCGGGGAGGACGAGTCTGCAGGGCGTGGGGTCGGCTGAGGGGACGTCCAGCTGCTGACCCGCCGGTCGGGCCTCCCCGTGCTCCTCCGCCTCCGGGCCAGGGGTAGGGGCCGGGGCGGGCGTCGGCTCCTCCGGGCGCTCCTCGGGGGGCAGGGCCGGCGCCCGGTGCAGGGTGGGCACGGCGCCCGCCACCAGCCGCAGGCGCTGCGAGAACTGCAGATTCTTCTGGATGACGGAGGAGACGTCGAAGCAGCAGGGGGCGAAGTGGTCGGAGCAGATGACCGAGCGGTCGTTGCCCCCGTACCAGTCGGCGCGGTGGCCCCGCACGAAGCGGTCCCACAGCAGCCGCACCGCGCGGTCCTTGGGGAAGCGGAACAGGGACTTGCCCGACTTGGTGGTGTTGCCGCAGTGGGCGGCCACGCAGCGGGCCGGCATGGCGGGGGGCCCGCCGCGGCCGACAACCGCCCGCCAGCCGGCCGCCCAGGGGTTCCTAGCTGCACCAGGCGATTTCGGCAAGTCCCAGCTCTTTCTCTTCCCCCGCCTCTGGGCTAACGGAAGTGTCGTCACGGGGTCTCGCAAGGCGGGGGCGGGGCCGAAGCTTGGGTCTAGGCTATTGCCTTCTCTCTGCCTGTTCGCCTCCGGCCTTCCCGCTTCCTAAAGGCGGACGTGAGGAGGAACGGAGGGGAATACGAATTTCGCGCGGGCCACTTCGAGTAGCCACACGTCGGACCCAAATGACTATAGGACCGGAAGCAGGGGTTGCCATAACGACCAAGGAGCCCGCTGCTGCCGCTCTGCTGCCGCACGCCTCCTTCTCTGCACTTGGGAAATCAGGAAAGCCGAGCAACTGAGAGGAAAGGCGAGGCAGGAAGCAGGCTAGCGCGACCAGAATCGGCCTGCGCCGCAGACCTCGGCCTGGGTAAAGGACCGTACCGGAAGTCGCCCGTTACCATGGCAACCATGGAGGGGTTGCCAGGGAGATGACCCCATTTCTACCTCCTCCCAACTCAGCTGTGGTGGCTCCTGTCACGAAGATAAGGCCAGGACTCCGACTATGATTCCCGGGAAATACCGCACCAGCCCTGGCCGCATCACGCCGAGCAACGTACGTGTTTGGGGCCGGGCCTTCGGCCCGCCCTCTCTCCATCCCCTGGGGTACCTCTGTCTTCCTGGCTGGCGGCCGCAGTCAGCTTCTTGGGGCCAGAATTAACCCCCCGGCCCTCGGTGATGGGAGGGATCCCCTAGACCTGTCCGCGGCTTCTCCTCACCCCGTTGTCTGACTTCCATGGAAAGAAGAGGGCCTTAAACCTCCCTGGGCTCCTCTGCCTCCTTCTGCCTTTTCTTCCCATGCCCGCCAGAAAATGGCCTGGCTATGAAATCCTTCGGGAATCCCCTTCCCTCTGGTTAAGTGAAAACTGCTCGGCTTGCACCCTTGCCCCGCATCCTCCCCCTTGCCCGTCCCTCACGTTGTCCCCTGTGGTCATACTCAGGAGTCTTGTGGGAGTGGCCCGGTTACAACGTTAAGTGCTTTGTGGCATTATCTCGGGTGTCCCCAAAATCATAGTGCACTTTTAAGCTTTAGCGGATTAAAACCGCACCAAGACTTTTGGGACACCCTGTAGATTGGGCATTTAAGGTCTATTGTTTCCTTGGCCGGGATCAGGGTTCCTAAGACTTGGAGCTAGTTTGCGTTATCTCAGGGCCTTGGTTTTTAAATGGAGAAACACGGGACATGCATAATTCGTTATCAGATGGGAACTGTCCATTTCACCTGTTTAATGAGGCAACATTAGTCATTTAGACCTGAGTAGGTAGATGCTATATAGCTTGAGTTAATAAGTAAATCACAGAAGATATTTTGGAAAATAAAGTAGAGAAAACATAAAAGTACCTTTAGGTAATACTACTCTCAGCATGAGCCTTTTTTATTATTAGTTTTGATTTCCTTTTTAAATTAAGTTGTGACCTGGGTTCTAGTCTCAAATTCTGCCCCTAACTAGCACTGTGACCTGGAGTAAGTCACTTAGACTAATATTTAGACTTTCAGTTTTTTCATTTATAACATGAGAGGGGGTTGGTTAAATGATCTCTTGAGTTTCCATTCAGCCCCACAAATCTGGGATTCTGTGACTGTAGATCCACAGAGAATACTCAGAAGGGAAAGGGTATAAACATTTATAGAATGCCTAATATGTGCTAAGTGCTTTTTGTGAAGTAGGTACTATTATTATCCCCATTTTATTGTTGAGGAAACCGATCTAAACAGAGGTTAAGTGACTTGCCCAGGGTCATGCAGCTAGTGTCTGAGGCCATTTTTTGAATTCATGTCTTCCTGACTCCAGACCCACTACTTTATGTATTGCACCATCAGCTGCATCTAGAAAAATGTATATTTGTTTGAAAAAAAAAAGATGTTTTGAATAGTAATAGTTATTTTTACTGTAACTTTTTTTTTGAACATTTTGGTGTATGCCACTATTTTAAAATTTTAATGCCAACTTTTGAGAAGGTTTAATCTTCAAATTTCAGGTGAATTGTGGGCTTCATCTGGTTATTCAGACATCATCAGTGCCTGAGAAAAGCAAAGTAAGGTTTGAGCAAATTCTTATTTGAATTGATAGTTATTCATTACGCCATGCTCTTTTTGTGTGGCTCTGAAACTATTTGAATTCTTTTAGCATGTATCTACATAAGTAGACATCTACACTCAAAATGGATTGAACAAGAAAAAAAAACTTAACTGATTGGGGTGGCCAATTATTTAAATGAACTTAAGAGTAAAGATAAAGCATGAGTATGTCCTGAGGAGGCCTCAGTTCCATTGGGAGCTCCAAAGGTCCTGATCCTGGATCTGTCCTGTGAAATTCTTTCCTGCCAACCCCTGCCTCAGTAGGCACCAGTTTCTTCACCCTCCCCTTCCCTCCTCCCCCCAATTTGAACATCACCTTTCATTTCCATGACCCAGCTGATGTATTTGAAGGGAACCTACTGGGGAAATGATTAAGTTTACATTTTCATAGCACTTTAGATTTGCAAAGCCTTTGCTTCACAGAGGTGTATTATGCAAGGACTGTTATCCCTGTTTTAGATGTGGACACAGGATCAGAGTGGTGAGATGCCTCCCCCAAGGTTTCACAGTGACTAATGAGCAGAGCCAGGACTTGAACTTAGATTCTCTGATCCTAAGTACAGGGCTTATTCCATCATATTATGTTACCTCAAAATGACAAGAAGTGTTTTAGAAAGTATTTCCTCATAACAACCATGTAAGAGAGGGATTGCAGGTATTAGTACTTTACAGATGAAGAAACTTGGGTTCAGAGAGGTCAAGTGATTTAAGGTCACATGATAAATCAGTGTAAGAGGCAGGATTTGAACCCAGGTATTTCCTGACTCTGAGTATAGTATTCTTCCTATTATATCATGCTACTTCCCCTTTATTGGAGGATAAAGGATAGGGCTGGAGACTGAGAACATAGCAAGGGTTAAGATGGACACCATCTGTCATTTAGGCAAGACCTGCGTGACTTCTGTGCACACGAGAAAACAAAGGGAAAATTTGGCAGGCAAACTATTTTTGGTTTCCTTTAATAAATAATGACTTCCATGGCATGATTTACTAAATCATTTTATTAATATAACAATATCCATCTCTGGATGGATATTGCTTTACCATTAAAATAGGTTGTCAGGAACTACATGGATAGTTTTAATTCTTCCTGAACTATTCTTTTTCTTTTCTGTAGTATATTTGTACCATATGATATTACATGACACTTAAACCCTTGATACTTCAAAATATTTTAAACTCATATTATGTAAAATATGTTGATAATATATGACTGACAATTATTTTAAAGTATATATTCATACTTCAGTTATTAGTTGAAATGTGTCTTTAATATTACTATTCTCAATTGAAATCTCAAATGTGATTTGTAAAAAGCACTTAACCCAGTCCCTGGTGCCTAGTAGGTGCTATATAAATGCTTATTCCCTTTCCTTTCCTCTCAGTTATTTACTTTGATTTGAACTTGGTTACTCAAATGCACCCATGATCCCATTAGTGTGGCTGTTCCCTCTGGGGATACAGATTTTTTTTTAAATACAGTTGAGAGAAGTGTTTTTTTTTTGTCATGGCAAACAGCTTTATTCCAGATTCCTATCCACTTTTTTCTTTTTCTTTTTTTTAAATGATTAAGTAATTTAGTTTTAGTTTTCAACATTCACTTCTATAAGATTTTGAGTTTTAAATTTTCTTCCCCTCCTTTTCCTCCCTCCCCAAGATAGTGTGCAATGTGATATAGGCTCTACTTGAACATTCATATTAAGCTTATTTTCACAGTAGTCATGATGTAAAGAAGAATTAGAACCAAATGGAGGAACCACAAGAAAGAGGAAACAAAACAAAACAATAAAAGAAAAGGAGAGCAAATAGTATGCTTCCATCTACATTCAATAAAACTCCATAGTTCTTTCTCTGGATGTGGAGAGCATTTTCTATCATGAGTCTTTTGGAATTATCTTAGATCATTGTATTGCTGAGAAGAGCTAAGTCTATGAAAGTTGGTCATTGCACAATGTTGCTGTTACTATGTACAGTGGTCTCCTGGTTTGCTCATTTCACTCAGCATCAGTTTATATGTCTTTCCAGGTTTTTTTGAAGCCTTCCTGCTCATCATTTCTTATAGCACAATAGCATTCTATTACATTCATATGCCACAACTTGTTCAGCCATTACACAATTGATGGGCATCCCCTCAATTTTCAATTCTTTGCTACTACAAAAAGATCTGCTATAAATATTTTTTGTACATCCTTTTCTTGTTTTTATGATCTCTTTGGGATACAGACCTAGAAGTAGTATTGCTGGGTCAAAGGGTATGTACATTTTTATAGCCCTTTGGGCATAGTTCCAAATTGCTCTCCAGAATGGTTGGATCAGTTCACAACTCTAATAATGCATTAGTGTTCCAGTTTTCCCACATCTTCTCCAACATTTATTATTGTCCTGTTTTGTCCTTAGTCAATCTGATAGGTGTGATGTGGTACCTCAGAGTCATTTTGCATTTCTCTGATCAGTAGTGATTTAGAGCATTTTTTCATATGACTATACATAACTTTAATTTCTTCTGAAGACTGCCTGTTCATTTCCTTTGACCATTTATCGATTGACTTATATTCTTATAAATTTGACTCAGTTCTCTATATATGTTTTAGAAATGAGGCCTTTATCAGAGACACTGGCTGTGAAAATTGTTTCGCAGCTTTCTGCTTTGGGGATACAGATTGTAAGCCAATTTGTACCTGCACATCCTGTTTGATTTCCAACAAGGTGCTAGAAACCCTCTTTACTGTGAGGATACCATTGGAACATGTGGATTGTCAACTAGTTATCTCTTGCTTTCACCGTATGACCAGCCCACCTTCTTTTTCAGTCTTAGATTCA